ATGTGAAAATGATTCTGATTAATGGAATCGAGATAACTTGCCATTTGAATGACCAATAATCAGAGGATAATAATTTTTATTGTCAAATGTTTTTAATTGTAAAATAAATAATAAAAAAAATAATAAATTTCAAAAACAAAATTAATTATCAAAAATAGTTTGATAGAGAATTAAAAACTATCGATTTATATAGCCTATTATGTTTATTCTTTTCCTACTTTCTTATATAAAATTCTTGGCACATAGCTTAGACTGAAAAATGTAAGTCTTTTGGCAGAACTTCAAGTTTCAGTGAAAGATTACATTAGAATATCTAATTAATTAATTAAATTAGACTTTCTAATTAGAGAAATGGTAAACATACAAAATGTCTAATTTTGTTTTTTCTTAAACATATGTATATTACGTGTAGTTATTTATTACAAAAAAAAGTATATAAGAATATATATTTAAAATATTTAGAAAGAAAAATTATAATAAAATATTATTAAAAATATATATACATAAAAATATAATAAAATATGATAAAAACATTATTTATAAATCTCTTATTAAATAAATTATTATTATCTTATTAATTATTATTATAAGATAATAAGATAATAATATATATATTATAAGATAATGTTTATTATCTTATAAATTAAAATTATTTCATTGTAAATTATATTATATAATATATTATATAATTTAATATAATTTATTAATATATTATTAATATAAATAATTATATTAAAATATAGATATGCCTATTTACATCCATTAGAAAATCTATTAATATATATATAATAATTATTTATTAAAATGAATATTTGTATGAAAGTGAATAAAATGAAATCTGAAAATTATTTTTTATTATTAAACATTTAATTAAAAATTCTATATTTGCAATATGAAATATGAAAATAAAATCAATTTTTAATTGATGTGCAATGAATATTAATAATAGCTCAATAATTTTAAATATAAACTTATTAACTTATTACGAATTTAATATGAACATAAGGACATAAAGATAAAAAATTGATCATTCTATTATAAAAGAAAGTATTGTCCATTATTTATATGTTGTTTGTTATCTATTATTTATCTGTCTGAATCTTTATCTATCTATTTATTTATTTGCTATATATCTATATATCTATCTATATATCTATCTATTTATCTATCTATTTCTCTATTCATACATCTAGCTATCTGTTATTTATAATATCTATTAAGATATATAGTATAGTGAAGGTCTAACTTTATAAAAAAAATTATAATTTGTATTTGATGTTTAATATGAAAGGAAAATAGAAATTTATCTCTTAATATAATATTTTATTAAATTTTATATTATGCAGTAATATTTAACAAATTTATTCGTTTTTCAATAGCAATAATACTAATACATAAAAAAATTATGAATAAAACATCATTTTAACTTCATTTTACAAATATATTTATATTCTATAATTCTTTATTAAATTTCATCAATAGTAATATTTAACATTTCATTATTTTTTAATTATACATGTATAATAACACAATTACGATATTATCATTTCAATATTACCTCATCTTACAAGAATATTCAATTTAGCAGAGAATTCTTAACAAGGGAAACAATGCTTAATTTAACACACATCATTAATTCCTTTCAACAAAGTGCAGAATCCGCACATTTTCCCGGCTATACGCTCCTTCAAATAGACACACGTGTTACGTCAGCAAAAATTATATCGTATGACCGACAATAGTTAGCGGATTGCGTTGTTTTATTACCGATAATTTCATGCAATTTCGCATTGACGATGTTTTACGCGGAAACTCGGTGCCAGTTGATTTTGTTGCTCAAGTCCGCTTTCCATTCGCACAGTGCACCCGTGTCTCGTCGGCAATGCGTCATTATTGTTAACGTCATTACCGGCAGCGCGGTTAATGCTTGTTCGTGGCCGTACAAGAGGTAATGCGGTTTTTCCTTTCAAACACTGATAGAAAAATCGTGGATAGAGGTAGGAAACGTGGGATTTCTCTCGCATCACGTCTTAATTTTACGAGACACCTCGTCCTCTTTTCTCGTCATTCTTTTTTTATTCTCTTCATTTGTTCTTTTCATCGTTAATTATAATTTTCATTCTTCTTTGCTTGCTTAGAATTCTTTTTTTTTGTTACTCTTCAAATCATTTTCCAGCCAATAAATATATTTATATAATATATTTCTGTTAATTATTAATAATTTTTCAAATTTGAATAAAATATGAATCGATGCATATAGTCAATAATTGAGAATTTTGCAATGAAATCAATTTTTGACGGTTTTTGAATTATTATATCTAAAAGAAATTTATATTGTATAGTATAGTATAGTAAGCTAAGTGCAAATATCAATAAAAAATAAACGATAGATTTTAGATTTTTATTTATATTATAAAGATGTAATTTATTATTATATATGCAATAAGAATGCAATAGGAATGCAATAAAAATATTTTTATCAAATATATATATTATTTAATTATATATATATATAT